ATTTCTTGGGCAGTGAAAGCTATACAAGTTTCTCTGTCTGAAATGTTCCCTGAATTAGAGTTGAGTTCTCCTTGGTTCTGGTTCCTGGTTTGATCCTTCTGGTCAGCTTCCCTGGGTTAACCCCTAATTCCTAACCAGTTGCATACAACCACCCATGGATCAATGTGACAGTGCCACAGATTTTCTTCTCATGTCTGTAAGGGCAAAGGATACCACTATTTGTGTCAAGTCAGTTCCACATTTACCTAGCAGCCACAGTACTATGGAGGGTTCAAGGAGAAGAATGGCAATTTCACTATTACTGATGCTTGGGTGGAAAGTGGGAAGATGAATTCAAGATGTTTACAGTCATTCCCTACCCCTCATATCAATTTCCATTCTTCCCTTTCTAAAAGTCAGTAGTATATTTAACCTTTACCTCAGAAACTTATTCAAGTCCCCATGTTTCATGTATTCAAAGACCATGATGAGTGGATCTCCGTCACCACAGACACCATAAAACTTTACAATATGGTCATGCTGCAGGTTGGTAAGCAGTTCTGCCTCCCTCTGGAAATCTTTTCGGGCAGCCAAAGTTGGGTCCTTGAGAGCCTTAAAAAAAAAAAAAAAGGAAGTATGGACAGGCAAGATGGTGAATGTCCAGAAAAATAACTTGCTTTCCCAGCTTACAACTTCTTCTCAGCTTATTGTCTACAACACTCCCCACATAATTCTAGACAGAGATAGATTCAAAAGAATTAGAATTGGTTTGTACAATGTGCTAGATTAGGCTAAAATGGGGTTAGGTAGCAGCATCTGGCCTATGTAGTCTGGAATGGAAGCTAAGCAGGGTCAGCCCTATTTTGTAATTGGAAGGAAACTATCAGGAAGTATCAAGGCCATAGGGTATAGTTTAAAAAAAAATCCCCCAAAATAAGGGCAAACAAATTACATATTGTTGCCAAGAAACCTGCATGGATATGTTCATGAAGTTGCTAGCAGGTGAGCTTGGAGGAGACTCTATCTAATGATTCAGTATGTTGTAGGAACCCAGCAAATGTTTTAGCATGTTTTATGAAACAAACCATCATGTATGTTTTATTTGTTTGGGCATAGGAAGTTATGTGAACACAAGAATGTTCCTTCCTATTCCTGCTTTGCTAACCAAATCTTAGGTTATGTGAAGCTAACCACTATTCTTTGAGCAAATGCAGATGAATACTTAGGAATATGGGAAGCTGGCTTGTATTCAGTCACACCACCGGCTGAGACTGGCAGAACACCTGTCCAACAGTTTAAGCTATTTATTGCTATCTGGAAATATCTAAGATTGAACTTGATACCTTTTCCATTCAAGGTACAGGCTGTATCCCTGGGCTATGCTCCCTCTGGGAACTGGAGAGGAAAGAAATTATCTGACAACTTCTACATGAAAACCTTGTGCCCTACCACTAAGTGATTCTGGGTGGTACTGTGTTGCACAGATGATTCCTTGGCTATTTTCTGGAGGGATAGATAGGTTAGTTAGGTGAAGCAAAACCAACAAAATACCTTGGAATAATAAACCAGATACTTGACGCAGTGAATTCTACATGATAAAAGCTTATTGGATAATAATGCATTTGTCTTTAATGTATCACCAGACCTTTCACTGCTTTGTTTTGATCAGGTTGTTCTTCTGTATTCCTTTGCTAAGTGTCAAGGACAATGTTATCACAACCCAAGTCCTTTATTACTTGGAAGCATGTTATGGTGAATTAATATAGACAGCTATTTGCTTGATAGAGGCGCCAATGACAGAATACCTTTGAGGAGTTTAATTAGGAGTTCCAGGAAATTACAGTTCCCAGAGGTCCTGATCCCAAGATGATATTGCATTCTGGGATAGAAAATGTCCTGGCATAAAGTTTCTCTGCTGCCAATCCATGCGAGAGGTCAAAGCAATATGAGGGATTTGCTTAGGAAAATGAGAATTGGAATGCGATAGGTCCCACACATTTCAAGAGTCTTCAGGTTGTTGTGGGCCTTTGTGTTTGAGAAATAATTTAATATGAGCCCATCCTGCATTAAGAGTCATTCCAGAAGATACAGCCTCTAGGAGGTAGGTCATTTCCATCCCCACCCCTAATTGTTCCTCCCAATAGTGCGGCCAAAATTTCATCATTTTGCTGCTTAATTTTAAGGATTTCCCTAACCCTGCCTTAAGCAATGGAATGTTGCCTTGCCTTTTTAACATGGAGTATGAGCTCTTTGCACAGGGAACATGCAATTTCCATGACATTTTAGAGGTATGTCTTCTCAGGCAATGCACCAAGAGGTGGTGAGGGAACAAAAAATAATGTGATAAGAGAACGACATTTTTCAGTTGGATTGATTCTTGTATCTCCCAAGATTGGGGTCTGTTTTCTTCCTTATATATAAAAAAAGTCAACTACCTGGAGCAAGTATGGAGGAGGAACTCTCTAAGATGAGCCATCTTTTATGATATCTTATAGGAAACCTATTAGGGGAAATGAGTGGAATTTCTTTGGTTAGCTTTTCATATCTAGAGTAGAATCAGATTGCTAATGGCATCTATTAGATGATACAGTATGTCTAAGAAAGCTGGTGCTCAGGTGAAAGGTTGAGAGGGAAATGAGAAGTACTATGGTCTGTGCAGTATAGAAACATAAACAATGCCAGCAATTATGAAATTATTTCTCTGGATACCAGCTCACAACTTATCACACTTGAAATTTCTGTCAACGTTAGGTGGTTGGGTTTGTTTTTTGGTCTGTTTTGCAACAGAGGAGGGGGAGAGAGAGAGAGAGAGAGAAAGAGAGAGAGTGCAGTAAATAACCTCCAATGTAATAGCTTCCACTTATTTCTAGCCCAGTCAGAACCCAAATCTTATGACCTTAAAGGCAAAGACTCCATATCTCATTATTATGACTCTTCTGAACCAGTTCAGCCTTTTATTTTGGAGAAGCTGATTTTGCTGCCTTTATTCTGAAGATGGATGTGCTCACTGTAAAGGTTTTTGTCTGGATGGGTGGGTGGGAGTGGTGGATGCTTAAAAAAAAACTACAATAATAAAAGCAAGGCATTTCACTCTTCATAATTTCCAAAATCTTGTATTCATTCTTTGTGCTTCATAATAATTTCCTGTGAGAATGAATCTCCCATTTGTATCGAAAGTGGCTTCTCGACCAAATTCTGGTTTGCTATGATTAGGTAATTTTGTCTAGTGCATGTATAGAATTGTTACTGGAGCAGGTGTGCCTGAATACTGTGTATTTCCTCATGAGGGTTTTGAACCAAAGATGAAACAATTTGTTCCCAAAATTAGTTATGGATCCTGAAGCCAGAATTGGGACTCCGTACCTGTTTTGCTATCTAAAGAAAGGATTTTCAGACTTTATCACCCCTATCCAGTAAACTGGAGTACACAATTATATTTATTTAGCATTTTACCCTTCCATAGAATATGCACAGTTGTCGGTCATTGAACCGGAGTTGGATCTATTGAATATTAAAACAACTGCATGTTGTTCTTGTTTTAGAATAAAGTCTTATCTGTACAGTCCAACAGAGGATGAAAGGCTAGAAAGTTGTCCTTGATTTTCTGTATTTCTATGTCTTACTTTTTGTTTTTTTTACTGTGGAAAAATTCACTCGTATGAGTTTCCATCTGCCATTTCAAATGGTACATCTCCAACTGATTCTAACCTTTTAAATCATCAATGTCACAGATTCAGGGAGATTAAATGAATACCTGCTCTCTTACAGCTTTTCTGATAAGCTTAAGGAATCCAATAGAGCTCAACACAAATTGGACACCTTCAGATTCCTGTTGCTGGCAACGAGGTACATGCAAATACCAATGTATCTGTGGGCTCCTCACAAGCCACCTGCCAGGCTTCCAGATCCCACTTTACTTTTTTTTTTTTTAAGGCAATTTGCATGCTGCAAACAAAAGCACCAGGTTCAAGTTTCTTCATTTGCAAGAATTCCTCTGGGTCCCCCATTGACCCTATAGTCAATAGGCCTGAAGGTCTCTGCTTCATTTGGAAGTGTATCTATTTGCTCAGAAATAAAGGACAATTGCCACTGTAGAGAGGACCCTGGGAGCATACAGAAAGTGTTTGTGTGTGTGGGATGAATCTTAGCAGTTTGCTTTCCAGTAAATGGTTGCTTTGGGATTGTTTCATGCCCACCAAGGCAGCCATTTTGTCAGAGTGACATGCTGTAAACATACCACATGAATCCAGTGGGACAGAATGATAGTTCTTTCTGGAGTATGGAAAACAGGGTACTTCCACCTGTACTTTTTCATGATAAAAATCCTAAAGAAGCCCATCATGCTTCCTGCTTCTCCTGGCTTGTGGAAACCCAGGAGGAACATTCTTCTTTCATGGAAGTGTTTAAGGTCACTGATTATAACATAAGTTGGAGCATTTTCTCTGAGTGGTTTATTGTTGAGTTTAGCTAAAATGTGGATTATCCACTGTAAACCTATCATACTGGTGTCTAGATTGCAATCATTTTGCTGTTTTTGTTCAGTTGGGTATTTAAATCTGCATGAATGTTTTAAGCATTTAAGGTTATACTGTTAGGAGCTTAGCTGCTGTTTGTTTGAATTTCTCTTTCAACTCAATCAGAAGATATTTCCACTGCTTTAAAAGAGGTTTAACTGCGTATTTGCTATTATATTATCTGCTGCAGGCATCCATTTTGGGCTGAAAGAACAAGGAAGTAAATCAAGAACTAGTAATAATAACAATAATATTTGCTATCATGATTTCATTAGAATGACCACTTACGAGAAGAAAATGACTCTTTCACTCATTTTTTACTCCAGACATTTGCTATAAGAATACAGCCTGAAAGGAACTTCACAAAGTGTTTTAAAGCTTGGGGATGGAGGAATTTTCCAATTGAGCCAATTTATTTAATATCTCTTAAAAATCTTGATCTATTGTGGAGGGATCCAAAAGAAAATTCAGCTGTGTCAAACTGTCATCCTTTCTCAAAGTTTAACATGCAATGCTAACAAACTGCACTTGAAGGTTGATTTTCTCTTCCAAAATGGGAAAGATTAAAAAAAAAAACCACACACACATACAAATTTCGTATCTTACACTATACCCCACACCTATTCAAGGCATCACATAATTTCATTTCATTTCATTTCATTTTTTTCTATCAGTGGAGAAGCTGACCAAAAATATTTAGATAGATGACTGTATGCTGTACAGACAGAAAAACATCTGTCCTCATCCTAGGTTCTTGATTACTTTTAGCTCTCTACTATCTTCCTGATGTTAACATTAAGCACTGAGAGCAATAGAACTCTTCTCTTTTGCCCATCTGCTTTATCTTCACCCCATCCAGACAAATATATTTTCTACTACTGCAGCTAGACTAAAACCATTTATTTATTTTTTTAAGCTTAGGACAAAACCTCCCAAGTCATTTGTTGCAAATATATTTGCTTTTTTTTTTTTTTAATCATGCTAATGGTGGATTGTTATCCAATTCATTGGCTATATCTGGACATTATGATCAGATAGAATTCTCCACTTCTCTAGCTTAGCATGAATTGGAGGAAGGCTGAGGTATGGCCAAGAGATCATTCCATGGCTCCTTTGTGGATGATTTGGCACAATGTCTAATGTTTCTAATTCTGGCACTTTAGAAAACAACCCAAGGTCCTTGATCTGATATCCAGCTAACCTGTGTTTACTTCTTCCTTCTAGATGGAAAATTCAAGAAGGAACAATTAACCAGCAACACATGAGTTGTTTTATTTTAAGTCAGAGTCTGGTGATTGGTTTCACACAGTGTACTGAGCTATAAAGCAGCTTACTTGATTTTGGCTTGGCGCGACATCACTAAAGGCATGACTCTCATCCCCATTTTTGGAGCCAGGGGAACCATTCGAGTTCATGCCCTTGATATGCAGTGATAAATCAGTAATTATTTGAGAGGTTGATGAATGAAGATTGAAATAAATGTGTTAAGCTTCCACTGGGCTTAAGACACCTATTTTGGCTTAAGAAAGAAGATTTCTATCCTACCCTATCTAATGACTTCATTGTATCATGACCGCACTCTGGAAGACCGATTTTTTTTTTTTTTAAGTTCACCCTGTCTGCAAAAACATTGCCTACACTGGATCAAGGCTTAGCAATATGTATGTCCCAGGCCACTATGACATGTTTAAAAAACCATTATTAAATCAAAATATGGCTTAGTTTGATGTGGGAATCTAGCAAGTGTGAGATCCAAAAATGCCCACCATCTTAAGTAATTTATTCTCCCCAGTGAATTCAGCCAGCTGGGTTGACTGATGGGCTGGGCTGAATCATATTGTTTTATTCAATGCCATCCAAACCAACAAGTGATGGATGACATACAGTTAGATTAAACTAGAGCTGGTTGCCAATGGCCATTTGAAAATTTCTGTTTAATTTGTCAGCTAAGAAATTGGGTAGGTGATTTCTTCAATTTTTTCCCAATCATTTATCAAGGGAAGTATTTCTCCCAGCAATAACAGTAGCACAGCTATTGAAAAACCCAAGGAACAATTCCCTTCTTATGTTTTCTGTTGAAATTTAATGGAATATTTGAAGTTAAGGAAGCTACCAACCAATTGAGAGGAAATTATAAAGTGAGATGCAACACACAAATACCCATCAAGTCACTAAGTGGAGGAACACAACACACCACTCATGAGAGTTTCCCTGAAATTCTCTTCGTTTTTGAAAGCAAATTCCCTTTTATCAACCTGAATGAGGACTGCTAGGAATAAAATACACAGTTCCTCTACCTAGCACCATAGGAAAGCAGTGGTCTACCCTTGTCAGAAAACTAGCCACAAGAATTCTGCGGTGGCTGATGCTGCCAAATTGTCTTCAATGGCAACCACAGCAAGAACTTTAGAGTCTGAGCAGCCTTATCTGGCAGATTAGCATAGATGTTTGCCCTCATATTTTACCTTCACGGCTACTAGCATCTTGTCCTTGGTGGGACTGAGGTTATAGCACTCAGCCAGGAACACCTTCCCAAAAGCACCTTCACCCAGCTCTCTCTTCAGGATGATGTCTCTTCTCTTAATATGCTGTACATCTGGAAGTGGCAAGGGGCAGGAAGGGAGGAAAGCATGAATTAATGTTAATGCAAAGAACGGTTAGCAGTTTCTTCTTCTTGTTCACCATAGGACAGGTTCTCAGTTGGCACAATGTGAGCTGTTCACCCATAATTAATCCATAATTGTTGAGAAGGCAGCAGAACTTTAGAACATTTTACCTTGTTAAGAAGTCCTGTCTGCCTTCAGAAGCTTTGCAGTGTATCTCTTTGCTCAAGGGGAGGGTGGGTGTCGTGTCTCCCTTTTTTCCCACCATTTGACTGATGGTTCTCTTTCCAAGGTTCTGCCCCCCCCCTTAAATTTATTTTGTTATTTATTTTGTGGTGGAAGATTATGCTTCAGACAAGCTTGGAATATGAATTTCCCCTTATAATATTTGCATACATTGTTGTTACATTTTAAAAAAAAACATGTATGCAATGACATCAATGGTATCTATTTCCTCCTGAAATAAATTAGGGGTTTCTTTTTGGGGGAGGGGGGGGGTTACATCCTAAGTCAAAAACATTTGGGACATTTTTTCCAAGGTGAGTGGCAATGCAACATTTCCCTGGGTCACAGCAGCTCCATCATGCAGGATTAGCGTTCCAGGGTTAAAGAAACAAAGGCTGTTCAGACATAATTTTCTATTACAATTGCCACTACTATGAAGGCAGATGGAGAAAAGCTGGCAGACTGTGAAGTACAAGTTCATAGGGGGAGGTGTTATAATCTCACTACCTCCCAGATATTTCATTGGCAATGCAATGGAGTCCAGATTTGGGAAATGAGCTTGTCGGAAGGGAAACTATTTTCCAAATGAGGAGAGAAAATAGCTTAACCTGCCAAACATAATTTCCAAATAAGAATATACCTATTACTGGCTAAGATACATGCAACCACTATGGGCTGTTATGAAAGTACAATGCATGAAAAATATCTGGAATGGAAGTAATTTGAAAGGGTGTTTTTTCTCCCTTCCGAATTAAATTAATAACACCCATTTCTGATAGGGTTAAAACTGGTCTGGGAATCGCTTTAGGTTCAGTCCTTTCGTTAAAAAAAAAAAAAATGGGACAAGGAATAACAAGAGGCCTAATGAAGAAGTTTTATTATCATGGAATTGGGCACATCACATTATGCCCTGTTTTTTCCTCTGAAGTTTCAGTCAGTTTCAGCATTGATTCAAAGAGTTACTGCAGCCAATCTAATTAACATCACCTCTCACACTTCCCACCCATTACATAATAAGATACACATCTACTAAATAGATGTCACTGCATTTGAAAGACTTACTTCCAGGTTAAATATATAGGGCTGAAGTCTTAATTGATTGATGTTGCAATCCTACACAAGTCTTCTTAAAGTAAATTCCACTGAATTCAATAAGATATACTCCTTAATAAGATTCAATAAG